CCTGTTAGCAAAGGGAAGCTCTCTGCACCTTCTGTTCCTGCCCCTTCATGGCATACTTCCAACTCTGAGAAGCGTGCTCTGTACTGGCCAAATTCTGGGACGTTTCATTGGTTCAGAATTTCACCCAGGTGCAGGGGCTCACGCCTGTAATCCCAACACTTTGGGAGGCTGAGGTGGGAGGATTGCTTGAGCCCAGGAGTTCGAGACTAGCCTGGGCAATATAGTGTGACCCTGTCTGTCTGTCTGTCTGTCTCTCTCTCTCTCTCTCTCTCTCTCTCTCTATCTGGAAAGAAATTCAGGGGCTGAAGATTTTTTTCACTGGTAAACCAAAGGGGTTTTAGATCAATGCTCAATTTGGGGTGATTTCTCTCTCTTTCTCAGGCCTAGAGGCGAGACCTCCCATGTAGAAAGGGGTCCCTCCCACACTCTGCCCCTATTCCATACTTTGCGTCCAGCAGGGACTAGAGTGAGGCCTCGGGGAAAGGAGGCCACTTAGATGGTTGCTTAGCGAAGCAGATTTTCTGTGTGGTCTGACCTGACTCAGACAAAGGGCAAAGCCTCAGCGGATCCCTGCTCTGTACCCCGTGGCAGGCAAAGTATTCGTGTGTTCAAGGCCTCTCTGGCTTCGTAACACCTTAACCCCTGCTTCTCCCCCACTCTCTCCTCTACCCACAAGTAACTAGCACAGAGGTAGGCACCCAGTAAATATGCTCTGATTGACAGAGTGTGACAGAGAAAAATGTTTGCGCTCCTTAAAGAGGACCACACACGTTTAAGCAAGGGTACCAGTTCAGTTGTATGATTGTTTGTTCTTAAGCAGAAGAAGGGCAGGACATCAGGAAATTGAAGGAGTGGTCTCCTGTATCTTTGTGAAAGGATATATATTATTTTTTGCCTCACAACTCAGCTTCTCTGAGGAATATGATGGCTCTATTTTGAAAGTAATGTCTAGTCATATGGACTTGCTAGAATGCAAAATATGTCCGTGGTCGGGGGACAGTTTCCCCAAGTGCTACTAAAAGGAGAGGAAGGATCCTGGATCCTCCTGTAATGTGTCTCTGTTCAAATCAATGCCACTGAGAAATGTTAAAACCTTGGTAGGTGCCCTTCAGACCACAGGCTGGGTACATGACCAAATGGTTCCATCTCTCTTATAAGAACAGGGATCGCCTAAATTGGGGTGTCCCATGTGTTCCATAACACCACAGTTATTATGGATCTCAGACAAATTATGTGGGAAAATGGAGGGGGGCTTTACCTGCATCTGCAAAAAGTTGGCTGCATGGAAATAACCTTTCTGTAAGGTGTTTTCCTGACTCAGGCATGTCTCAAACTGGTCAATGTGTCTTGAGGCCCTGGGCGAGCATCCAAGTACCACCTTCCTGAATTGCTACTAGAGGAAAAGGAGCCTGTTTCAGCTTTCTATGCTTCTTTAAATGCTACTTTGATTAGACAGGAGATAGCAGTTTGTTTAGTAATAGTACTATTATAACTCTGGCGTGGTTATATTTTTCAGTTACACTTTCTCATTCCTTTGCCAAGAGCAAATGAAAACACAAATTTGCACTGCAGATCAAACTGAAGCTGTGCAAAAGTTTCCCAGATATGTTTGAAAAAGCATTCTAGGCCCACTGCTGGCCAAAAAGGAAGTCTTCCCCCACCCTTATGCCAGGGGTCCATGCTTTAAAAAAAAATACGAACTCCTTTTAAAAATAAAATAAGTTTTATTGCTATAAAAGTAATGCATTTTGTTGTTTATACAAATATTACTCAGAAAATACATAAAAGTACAAAGAAAAAAACAAGTACAAAAAACCCATCACCTATAATTTTATACTATAATACTGTTACAAGTTTTGGTATAGTTCTTCCTAGACTTTCTCCATATATTGATACAAAACTATGGATGCAAAATGATCCCAATACACTTATATTATATATTCAGGAACAGATTGCAAAAATAATTCTGCATCTTATGTTTATCACAGAAGTAAACCACAGACAGCCACCGTTAGATTTTTGGTTTATTCTCTCCATCTTCTTGTCTGTATATTGATACAAAACTATGCATGCAAAATGTCCCCAATACATTTATAGTACATATTAGGAACACATCGCAAAAACAGTTTAGTATCTTTCTTGATTCCCTATAGTGACACGAGTCAGTGGTAACGACCTCTAGACTTTTGGTATATTTCCTGATAACCTTTTTTTCCCATATTATTGATACAAAACTATGATTGCAAAATGTCCCCAATACATTTATATTCCATATTAGGAACACATCGCAAAAATAGTTCAGCATCTTTCCTTGGTCACTTTTATACCACAACTCAGAGATAATCACAATCAAGTTTTTATATGTTTCCTCCTAGCCTTTTATCTGTATGTTGATACAAAACTATTCAAGCAGAATGCTCTCTATGTACCTATATTGCAGAGATAGGAAAATCGCTTTTTTCAGTCACTAAATGTTTTATCAGGAGCACATTCTCCTGACATGAAAATAACTTTCAGAAACATTATTTTACATGAAAGCATCCTATTCTATTGTGCTAGCCACACTATATTTTATTTGTCCAATTCTTTGTTGTTGGTCATTCAGGATGTTCCTAACGTCCATCCTTAAAAATATTGAAATGAGCATCTTTATGCTTTTTTTTTTTTTTTTTTTTTTTTTTTTTTACTGGGGCTTTCTGTTCATGTCATTTTTATGGTTTTTCTTGACCACTTGTGTGGATTCAACATATTAAAAATGACCCTGTGTCTGTAAGGCTTATAGCAAAGTGTTTTCCAATTGTCATTTGCTTGAGCATAAATTCTTTGTTTTAACATTCTAGCAAAAATATAAAATTATATACCCTATGTAAGTTTCAATTCATTCAACAGACATTTAAAGCAATAAAGACACAAATAGTTAAGGACATTCCCATTACACTCCTATGAAAACACAACTCATCCCCCCCGATCCCACAGCAACCCCTTTCTTCTTTCCTTAGGGCCCACTTTGCTCCTGATCTTTTTATTGGTTCGTCTTGTAATACTTACCACGTGTTTTGTTATTAAGACGAGTGGCTCCCAGACCTTTCAGTTATCAATCTGTCACAAGTGCACAGTGATATCTCGTGACACGATGATCCCCGAGATGTCTGAGGTCTGTGCATCCTTGACCGATCCCAAATTTCTGTATCACCCATGACCCCTAAAGACTTTAGAGATTTGTATTTTGACAACATAACAAGAAAACATGGCATCACACAGACACATGCACACACACAAAAAAAAAAACATGAAAAAGTAGAGAAGGAAGAAACTTCAGCTCTAATCCCACCACCCTTAAGTAACAAGTATGTCTGTTTAGCACGTTTCCTCCAGGTTCTATTTGTCAATAATGGGGTCCATGTGATTTTGTTGCCCTGATTTTTTTTTAAGTTGATATCATAAGCATTTTCCAGGTTTCTGGGTAGTCTCTATCATTGTTGTTTGTAATGGCTGAAAAAGGTTCCATTGAGTGAGTGACTAGATTAAGTTAACCCCTATAGCTGGACACTTCATTTGTTTCCTTAAGATTAATTTGATTGAATCTGCAGAAAATAACACATATGGGCCAGGGGTTTTACATGAATTTAAATCATGCTTTTTTGGTTTGGGCAGATTGACTTGTACAGGGCTGGGTAACTTACAGTCACTGTTTAGTAATCCTGGGGCCAATCTTGGGCCTCACCCAGGAAGGGTCCAGTGTATAGGTCAAAGCTCATCCTAAGGCTAGTCAGTTTCACCTGGAATTTTTGTAACCAAACACATTCCTGCTCAGGTCACTACTGGATAGTTGGTTCTGATAAACAGGTAATGACATCAAGAACATAGCATGAGGCCTGGAGGAAGAGGCCCCAGAGAGTAACTAGCCTCAGGCAAATCCTTAACCTCCAGAGGCCCCCTTTTTCTTGTCTGTAATTACTTTTTGGACTGCCTTAACTCGGTCTTTCAAGGTTGTCACAATTTTTTTAAAAAATGAAAGTATTTGGAAAAGTACGTAAATGCATGTACAAAGGCAGGATGTTGGGATTCCGATGATTCTGTGGCCACGCCTTTAGAAGGTCTGGTCTTAGGGTAATAGTCTCGTCTGGGTGGCAGACATGCGGGAACAGGTGAGGGAGCTGCCTTGGGAGACTTAGACTTCAGAGCAACCAAGACTCTCACTCTCAGGTTGCTGCAGTGTTCTGAGCTGCCTGACTCCAGCAGTGGAGCCAAGGCCATGTTTCCAAACTCCCACCAATTGCTCAGATTATAGAGCTCAGTAGTGGAAGGGGGAGTGCTCAAAGGCCCGAGCAACCATAGGAAGTAGATATCTTCAGGGGTCCTCCCTCTTGGCTCAATTTACTATTCCCACAGGGGGTTTAAGCCTCGCTGAACTTGCCAAAGCAATCAGCAGTGGAGCTGGGGAGGGGGAAAAGGTGGCAGATAGGTGAAATATTATGAAAGAGCTAGCCAATCCTTGTTCCTTCACTGAGCAGTAACTAATGGGTGGGCCTGAGTGAGATGTAGGGGTCAGGGAGATACATGTTTTCTACACTTGATGTATATATACTCTTTTTCACTTAAGAGTCATGTAATAACTCTAAATACAAATGCATATATAAAGTTCTAGGGTTATGAGAATAAGTCATACTGCAGGCCAATGGGAAAAAAGATCTCTAAAAATGTATGCCGACTTGCATATAGCCCCTGACTCAAGTCTTTTCATTTCTATTGAAAAACTCATTGATCTTCCCAAAACATTTTAGGAACCTAGTTTTATTTTCATCTTGCACAGTCTCAGGAAAGCCGTCTGTAAGTTAGCTCCCATCTCACAGGCTCAGGTTTTCTGCAAATGTTACCCTGAGCTTTATAGTAGTCCAGGATTCAGGAAATGAACCCAGTCCCCTGCTGCCCCATCTGCCTTGATGAGTTGATAAGTATGGTGTTTAAAAACAATCAGCAAAACAATTTGCACTGCAGAGTCCTTAGGAGTTTTTTTTAATTGGACAGTTGCCCATATTAACGAAAATCAAAAGTAGCATACAGTCATTCAATGTCCCAGCATAGGGGTACAGCCCACTGTTTTCCTGTGTGGGGTTCCACTTTAGTCCTTTTCTGTGTGCATGCATAAATTTTTACAGAGTTGCAACCACTGCCTTTTTCTGTGGCCCTGGTTATTGGCATCTAGTTTTCCAAGTAACATTGACACACATCTGTTCAAATCAATTGACGTTCCCATCATGACTGACTCATTTGGCGGGAAAACCAAGTTTACATGCCAACTGGAACAAAGAAGTGTGGGTATGGGGGAACAGTGGGGAGAAAGAAATGGTGGGAGAGGGTTCCTTGGACTTACAGATCATAAAACATTTTCCAATAACATTTTTAAAGGATGTATAATATTACACTGAGTGATTGATTATATTTTACCCTTCTATTTGGGACACTTGGGTGGTTTTCAATGCCTAGAGAGTTTTAAAATGCATATAAATTACAGCCTTTGAGACATGATTGTATTTTCTTGTAACAGGAGTCTTCTGTGTCCACATCCCCGCCAAGAGTGTTGATGTAGTGTTCCTTTGTTGGGGGGAAAAAAAAGAAAAAAATCAGTACTGCTAACTGGAGATGCTGGATGCCTTCAAAAAAACATTCCTGTGATTTAAATTTTTTAAAAAATTATGTTCAGCTCTGGTTTATCAAAGCAACTTATGTATCTTGTCTCACAACTTACAGAAATGTGGAATTTTAGATTTAAACTAAGCTCTTCCTAGTTTAAGAGCCACGTCTGTCTAATAAACTTTATACAATGCCACGTGCACACAGCTTCCTCACTAACAGATAACATGTGTTGGGGAAAAAATGAGAAAACAGTGGAAAGGTGCTTCTTTGGAGGTGGTAACATTGGGTCAATTAATCAGTAGACTATAAATTGATTCACTTTATACAAGTCTCCCACACATTATGACGCATATTTAGCGATGTTGAAAAACAATTTAAAAGAATACCTTAGGGAGCTGTTAAAGAGAATTTATAGTCTGGAACGAATTGCCATCTTCTTAATTGACACGGAAATGTTTGGCTAAAATATTGCTTTATTCACATTTTTGTCCTTGGAGGAAATCTAGGCACACTGCAACTTGGACCGTGTAAATAAAGGTGCAAGGAATGTTTTAAGTCAGAAAAGGGCACTACGAAGTCAGGGGGCTGTGTGGACAAGCTCAATTTCGATGCATCTCGGAGACTTAGGCAAAGGGCCTCTTGGATTCCAGAAGGCAACGCCCCCAAGTCAGGATCCCTTGCTCGCTGCCCTCTGTCCCTCACCTCCCCAACCGCTCCCGGGTCTCACCTGGGTCCTGCAGGCGCCCGCTGGAGGAAGCCGGATGGTGCGGGCTTAGTCCTTCGGGAAGGTTGGCTGCCACCGGGCTTCCTTCTGGCTCCAGGGGGAAACCTACAGAACAGGGAGAAAGGGGTAAGCAGGTGAGAGGCAGAAGGGGCGTCACGAGGTGGCTCCCCCATCCCCAAGTGCAAAAGCAGGCGGATGCCGGTACCTGTTCGCCGTTTGGGCCTGAGGGGCCGTGCGCTGGCTGACCGGAGTGGGGAGGGACCAAAGTGGCGGCTTCTAGGCCTGAGAGTCGCCACTGGGTCGGGTGGGTTGGTCCTGCCCTGGGAGCCTGAGGGTCCCGGCAGGCCCGGAGGGACCCAAGCAGCCCCCACGCACTGCCCCAGCGCAAAGGAATCTGAAAAAGCCAGCGTCTTGGGCCGCTGAACCCAACTCCCAGCTCTGGACTCAGGGACCCCGCCCTATCCATCCCCCAAACTGGGAAACTTCTAGGGGCCCATTCCCGGCCCCGGAAAGCCCAGTTCCAGCTAGCCCATTAAGACCAGAGGGGTTTCGGTGTGTGTTTTGGTTGCTTTTTTTAAAGGGGACAAAGTGGGAAAGATTCCACGCCTGCCTCCCCACGCCTGCCAATGATCCTTTACTTGCCCATGCTTCAGATCAAATAATTAGCTCAAGTCATTTGCACAGAAAAAGAGAATTAGCCCTTTCCTAGTCAGGCTGTCAAGCTCCCAGGCAGGCAATGCGGAACCCCATTTCCTCACCGAAGGCTCAGGGGGCCAGCCCAGTGAGGGATGGAGGTGGTTTTAGAGGACGATAGTTGGGCAGCACTCACGAGCAACAGCGCCCAGGAGTTTTGGAGTCAGGAAGGGCCCCAGAAACCGACGGGTCCTGGGGCTACAAAGGAGATTTGGTGGGCGGAGAATGCCTCCAGAGTGGAATTGTGGTAGATCTCTGGGAAAGGAGGGCGCAAAGAAGCTAGAAACGCTGATCCCCTCAAGGCCCCCACACTTCTCAGCAGGCTTGGGCTCAGATTCGGCAGGTTGGCTCCTTCCACCCGTCCGCAAGGCCTCACCCTCACCGAATCCTTCTAGGGTGCCCCGCAACCCAGCAGCGGGGAAAGGAGAGCGCGAGTGTGGGGAAGAGGCCCGTTACTTTGATCTTTCCTGAACTCTTAGGTTCCTTCCACACTCAGGACAGGAGCGCGTTTACCAGGAACCGCAGAGAGATGTGAAGACTTCTTGTAGCTGGGCACCCTTCCTCTCCCTACTCCTTTTCCGGTTCCCCCCCCACCCCGCACGCCTCCCACCATTTCGTGGTTGGGGACTGAAAATTGGGTTTTCTTCGTCGTCCTGCGGGTGGTATTCTGATTGGGACTTTTTCCAATTGTTTAATTCTCCCTCAGCAGGGAAAGGGACTGCCAAAATGATGCAAAGACCGGGCAAACGTTTGATGGAATCTTGGGTCTCGCTGCTCCTGGGGCGGACGCCGCAGGCGGTGGCCTAAGACTTACCTGCTGGGTAAGCCCGTAAGGCAGTCCCAGACTTACTCTGGCAGCGGAAACAATACTCCAGAGTATTGATAGCTAACTGCAGAACTGTTTTCGCTGCTAGAGCACGACTGGGCACGGGCACGGCATCCCTCCTCGGCTCCCACCGCCTACGGGCGCGCCCCTGGCCCGCCGCCCCCAACCTGGCCGGGAATACTGACCTCCCCCGACTACCGCCCTGTCGTGTGGACTAGGAAGGGCCAGGACCCACCAGAAAGACGCAAACGCCCACCCACCTACCTGCTTCTGGGCCGGCATAGCGGGGAGCGGGCACTTCGTGGCAGGAACACGGTCCGGCAGATCCCACCTTCTTCCTTCCCCACGAGTGGATATAGCAGCGCTTCACGTTTTGAACCATTTAGAGCACTTCAAAACATGAATTGCTGCTGTATCCCCTTGGAGTCAACGAAGGGGGATGGACCGGGGTACCTGCGGGTGAAGAAAGACTGGATGACTGGAGGAAGCCCCGCCCCGCCCCGCCCCACGCTGCCCTTGGCAATAGAGCAACACTTATGACTAGGCCACCTCACTCCAAGTTGAGGTACTTTTTATAACGTCACCATTTGATTTCCAGGAGCTGCAGGTGGAGCCGAAGTTGTGGCTCTCAATTTTTTTCCCCTGAGGATGAATCTTGGGAAAATGTAGTGGTGAAAAGAGTGATGGGAGATAGGAATTAGTGTGTAAGAGAATCTAATTACTTTGAAAGTAGATGAATAACATTAAGTAGAGGCAATTGTACATCTGGATCATTCTTGCCAGCTTCAAAGTCTTGGTGAAACTTCTTCCTGCTGCATATTACAAGTCTTATTCATTGTCCCCATTTAAAAAAAAAAAAATCCTTTATTGGAAATGGATGCAGATGACTGGAAGGAAATAACCAAAGCTCGCCGGTAGCTTCAGCTGATTCTAATATATACTATCGCTGCGACATATATATACATCTTTAAAAGCATTAGATGCCCTCTTTAACTCACTGCTAGTGTTTTTATTCTTACAGTAAACACCCCTGCTATTTTTAAGAGCTTCAAGAATGTCAGAACTTTCTGTAGATGAAATACCTGGACATTTACATATTAAAGTAGTTACTCAAACTTATTCATGAATGATTTATACCTATCAATGTCATCTATGAAAACATAAATCAAAAAGTTTAAATACTTGATGTCAAGTCGCTCCTTCCTGTTTCAAGCAGCTCCATAGAAACTCTTACATGTCCTGAAATGGCCGGCACTGCGCATACTCCTTAATGATTAACTCATTAGATACCACTTTTTCCTTTCTAAAATGGACACATATTAGCAACAAGTCACATGCATGCCCCCTTTTGGTTTAAATACAGTATTCAATTAAGCATTAGAAAAAAACCGACTCTGAAATCCTCAATCACAAACCTAAAACAACAAAATCACCACTAACTGTAATGGTTTTGAAAGTTAAAATACATTTCAGCACAAGTAATAAACATTTAAAGTATCCAACTGTATTTTGTTAGATTTACAAATTATGTCGGTTTTTCAAAACTAGTACAGTGAATGTAAGCGTCCTATTAGTTAATAAAATGTGCAGAGTATTAAAGGAGATTGAGTATAAAATTAATAACATCCAGACTGAGATCCAGTGCTAACAAATACACTACACGTCATGGTAAACAAAGTCATTAGTGATAATAGCCCCATTCCCTAAATTGGGACAATCAAGTGTCTCTACGTTCCATCTTGTTTTGGCAATGATATCTACAAACTTTTACATTGACTTTGGGATTAATGGAGAAAAACGTCGTTGGCTGCCCTTAAAAAGAAAAAAAAAAAAAACAAGTTTAGCAAATGTACAATTATAATTTAAAACTCCACAACTTTCTCCCAATATTTTGTTCCATATAAATATATGAGCCATCATGTCAGAAATTGAATTCACTCCTAATTTAACATTTCTTTAGTTGACTACTTAGAAAAACAAAAGTTCATTCAAAATAACATCGGTGTCTAAGGCAAAGGTCCCTTCCAGATTGCTCTGAAACTCACTGGAATCGAATTTATTTATACGTTTCACCTTTACCCCTTTCATCTCTCCGAGTGATAGTACAACGAGTTACACCCCTAAAAAGCCACCTCGATCCCCTAGTTTACATATTTCCCCTTAGACTGAAATTTACTTACGAAAAGAGAATACAAAGGGGCTTCTCGTCACTTCAGGAGAGGGTCATTCGCTGATACAATAGACAAAGAATCGATACTTTCGAGTGGCCATAGCCCCACCCACTTCTGAACTGCAATGTGTTTGGCTAAATGATTTAAGAGCCAAAGAATACGCCTCTTCCTCTGTTAACATTTTACAACGTTTTGTCTTTTAATTTTGCATCTGCCTTCGTCCCCCACACCCCCAAAACACGATGTACCCACCCTCGGCGCATTCTAGCCAAACTTTCCCAATGTCAAGTTCCCTACAGGGAAAACTGAACAACCTTGAAAGTTTTAAATCGGGAGAGACAATGTAAAATTAATCACACATTTCTTTCCAAGACATAACTTACTGCTTGCAAATAAGAGTCAGGAAAAGTTCATTTACATTCTGTCAAAACCAGTCGCTCCTGACCCCAGCGAGGCTGGCAGTCGGTCACTGCCCCTTACTCAGTATTCCCTCCCCGCCCCTCCATGTTAGTTTTTTTTTCCCCAGTCCGTTTCCCGAGAATTTCCCGGCCGCACTCATTTGTTAAACACTTTAAAGGTCATTTGCCCCCCCACCCCGCCCCCCAAACGTGCTTTACAACCCCAAAATGCCACAGCACTTTTTCAGAATTATCACCAGATTTTTTTTTTTTTTTTTTGGCCTGCCGTAACCCACGCTACAATCTGGAAAGACACCAGCCACCAAGACCTTTTTTAAAAATCGCATGTCACCTCTGGCTCGACTCGAAAATGGCGCCGAAATCGAAGAACTTCTTAAATTTCATTGCAAGCTTTTTGCAAAGGTTTCTGGGATTTGCCTGCGAAGCTGTTTCGCCGCGTCCGAGAGCGAGCGAATGTGCAAGCCAGCGAGGGAGAGAGGGAGGAAGGAAGGGCTAGGGAGGCGGAGAGACAGACGGAGCGAAAGACAGAGGGACATCGACGGACAGCGACAGAAGCGGGACCCGGGACTTGGGAGACGGCGAGGTTGCAGGGCGCGAGGTGCCGGGCACGGAGCGACAAGGACGAAGATCTGAGAGCCGGGGTCTCAGCGCGGACGGCGCGCGGAGGAGGCGCTGGCTGCGGCCGAAGCTCGGAGAGCGGCGTGGCAGAGGCGGAGCAGAGCGAGGGGCCAGCGCGGAGCGCTCTCTGAGAGGCGAGAGGCGCAGCCGGCGGAGAGGCTCCAGGAGCCGCCCTAGAAAAAGCCGGCTTCGGGGGCGTGGCCACGCGCTGCTGGCGCTCTCCGCCCCCGGGTGGCCCCGCTTGGCTCCGGGGCCCGGGGGCGGAAAGGGGGAGGGGAGGAGGGGGCGGGAGGGAAGGGGGTTGTGCAGGCGCTCGATGCCGCAGCCTTGGCCCGAGGCGGGGGAGGGCCAAAAAAGACACAGGACGCCCTGAGTAACCAACAATGAGCCGAATAGGGAGAGACAATGTGAAATTAATCACACTCTGGGGAGAAAAAGCGGAGGATGGCAAAAGGCAAAGCCAAGGGCACGAGGTACCGCAGCGTGCACCCCCAGGCTTCCGCGACGGACGCCATCCAGCGCTCACCGGTCCTCTGGTGGTGTCCTTTGAGCTGCCGGGAGGGCGCAAGTTGGCTGAGCGAGGCTTCTTGCTCTGTGCTTCCAGGGGGTACCTGAGATGGTTTGGGAAAGGAAACAGGGGGTCTCAGACCGCGTGAGTGCAGCGCTCTCCCCACGCGTTTGAGTGGCGGTCTGTCGAGACGCCCCAGCCCTCGCCACCCCACCAAGCTCTCAGAGAGGCCCCGGGACAGGGAGAGCCCCATAGTCCTTTGGTGGGCATAACACAGAGGGAGAAGCAATTGTTTACACATATGCCCAGTACAAGAAGGGAAACTGATTTTTAAGACTGAAATGGGGAAACCGGAGAAAAAGGAGCCCTTATCCTGAATGTTAGACGCTATTAGGGACGATGCTATTTTGTATTTGTGAGAATGGTATTGAAAGTAAGGAGGTCCTTATCCTTGAAGATGCATGCTGAAGTGTACAGAAGTGAAGTGTCACGGTGTCTGCACTTTTCAAATGATGCAGCTAACATACGCACACATTATGAGAACAGAAAGGAAGCAAGTATTGCAATATGTTAACAGTTGTTGCATCCTGTTGGGGGTGGGCGGTAAACAGACGTTCGTTGTACCGTTGTTTCAACTTTCCTAAATATTTGCAAAAATGCCATAATGAAAATTTTGGAAGAGTTCCCTTATAAAATAGCACCTGAATGCTAAGAAAATGAAGCCGGCTTCTTTTCTTTTTCCTGTCCCGGGTGGGACAAATCTGCGAGCAAGCAGGGCTCAAGGCCAACGGGATCTGGACGGGAAGAGCAATGGGTAGAGCTGGACTGCAGCGGCCCTGCCCTGGGCAGGCGAGGAGGGACCATCGGAGCCGCGGGGCAGGTGGGCTGCCAGGCGCAAAGCTCTGCGGAGGAGCTGCCTAGCGCGTTGGCCCCGGGGGCGGTGCGGGTTGGGGACTTCCTGGCAGCTCTCAGCAACCCCCGGTCCGACTTAGACTTGGTGGGTCGGCTGCGCCACAGATGGGCAAAGAAACCGGCAGGCCGCGGGGAGCTGAGCCGCGCGCTTGCAGCCGCCGCCACCGCGGCCCGCGGCCGGACCCCGCATTCCCGGAGGGAGGCCGTAGTTGTCGCGGCCTGCAGACGGCGCGCGGGGTAGCCCAGAACCGCGTGCGGGCGCTGGGGGGAAAAATCAGGTGCCGAAAGAAAACAGCAACACACGCGCGGACACACACACGAAATCAGTTTACCGAAATAAAACTGCGCAGTCTGCTGTGCTCTGCGCTCGTGTTTGAG